ACACTGTTGACAATTGATCAACATCTTTACATGCCCGTCTTTGGACGAAATTCTGTGCCAAGTCAGTCCATTTGGGACAATGACCAACGTTTATTTTGAGCACTTGGCCCCAGTCCACATTCCCGCTGCTTCCATTTAATCGTTCCTTTTTCCAATTGCTTTGAATATCATTTCCCCGATTCCATGTTTTCTCAGATCGTTGAATTTACCTTGGTCATCATCCGTTACCTTACGGATGACACTGGCCGCATTGATTTGGACCGCTTCGCCCAGATTGAAGCATTGTCCGATCTTTTCTATGCAATCCTGACTGCTTGTGGCGACTGCCTTTATTTGTCCAGTATCAAATTCTTTTGGAAATCGTTTGCCACTGCCTTGGCAACCATCGAAGGTGAGAATGGTGATGGATCAGTTCAAACCATCACTACTGTTGACCATCATGGTCCGCTTCGTGCTTTGACAGCCCTGGACCATCCCAGCTTCAATTACTTGCGCCAGATTCTGGACGAAGCAATTACTGGCTTGCATCACCTTCAGGCGTATCTTCAAACACAAGGTCAATCGGATGAAATTCAACATCGCTGCCAGGATTGCATTTTACTTTGTGAGCTTGTTTGTCACACGATGCGACATCCTCATACACCCCACCGTGCTGACACTTTGGAGGCGCACTTCCGCACCTAATGGGAATGGCTGTGATACATTGCAACAATGGATTTCTTTGTTGCCCTTTTTGGAAATATGGTGATGACTCCAATTGATGCCGAGACCACGACATCTGTGACATTTGGTCGTTGTGTGTCGCCTGGTCACCAATTCGTGACTTTTGCCCACGTGAAACAAATTGGAGAGGTTGACCGAGTGAAACTTCAGAGAAACGCAACAAACAGATTGACCAGCCTTTGCACTTTTCAGTGGATGTGTTTCATTTCGAGTTGCGTTTTTTCGTTTGAGTTTTCGGCGTATCACGTGCGTATTTATATATATATATGTATATATCTATATTTGGATATATATAGATTTGTCTCGGTCTCCCTTTACTCCTGTATTACTTGTGTACATATATTGATATATATTTGTCCCCCCCTGTTGTTTGGGTCCCTGGGGTTTTGATGCTATGAGTTTGTCCTCACTTTTGGTTGATCAAGAGTTTATAAGGAAGGAGAAATTGTTTGCCCTGCCTGGCAAACGTTGCTTTTCTGCCATCTGCCCATTGGATGTAGCAGTGGTCACTTTCAAAGTGGACACTGGCTCCCATGTCCAATGCCCTGTTGACTGACAGGATGTTTTCGTTCACACCCTCAACCACCTGAAAGGTGACTTGAGCTTCTTCTTTGAGCTCGTCTCCAAGCCTGAGCTGAGGGCGGATTTCCCCGCACGCCTTCAATGGAGTGTCATCTACCGTGTACAGTTCCTCAACGGCGTTGGGGTGCAAGAGAGCACTTGGAAAAGCCTCAGGTCTGCAGACCGAAGAACAGGCTCCTGTGTCTACCAGCAGCGTGCCTCTGCTGGCAACCTTGGCCACTCGTGCAGTGTCACTTCTTTCGAAGACTTGAAGTGCCCATACCCTGGTGCCTTGAAACGTCTCGTGTGGCGCATGCAGGAGCTTCCATTTCTTTCTGAACTCCTTGCAATCCCAGGCGTTGGACTCTTCATCCCACTGCCATGCATGTTGACCTAAACGGATAGCCAGGATACTGTGACCCTGGTGCTGCATACTGTACTTTCGTGTGGCACCCTTCTTGCCTTTCACCACAAACACCTTGGTGTTGGGATCCTTTGCCAAAATGGCACTGCCAGTAGAGATGGAGGCTTCTGGTATGGCCAAAATGGCCTTTGGTGAAACACGGCGGTGTTGCCCGCTGCTGGTGGCCTTAACCATGAGAAGTCGGTGTTCCCCGATCATTCCAACGTTCTTCCCTTTGTTGGATGTGGTCGTGGATGGAAGGGTGATTATACTTTGACCACCAACTTGAGATGCAGATGGCCCTGCAGAGACCACTGACGTATTGTCTTCAGTGATACCTGCAACTCCTTTTTTGCCCTTCCCCTTTGGTTGGCCTTTTGAGTTGAACCAACACTTCTCAGGGGTATGGCCGGTTTTCCAGCATATGGCGCAACGATCCTTCTCCTGTTGACCTTTGCCACCTTTGTTGCTATGGCTGGCTGTCCTTTCCTTTTCCTTCGGCCTCTTTTCCTTTGCCCTTCTTATTGTCCTTTCCTTTGCGATTTTTTCCTTTCCCCTTTCCTTTGCCATCACCAACAAGGCTGATGCCCATGGCATCTGGATCTCTTGTGCGTGCGGTGGCTCCCGCATACGCGGCTGATGGCCTCCAAACCTGCTTTGCTTGCAGATAGGACACCACCACTTCACGCACAGACTGATACGTGGAAAGGGTTCCAATGTGCATGGAAAGGTGTTGTTTCAGGGCGGTTGGCGCCTCAGTAAGGACCACAGCTCTTTTGTCTTCATCACTGATGGCCTTACTGGGACCATATTCGGCCTCATACTTGTCAAGGTCAGCTTCCCGCTCCTGGAGTGCCGCTGAAAACTCGGCTTCCTTTGCAGGAAACTTGGGACTGAGCAACGAGCGCCGCCAGATCAAACTCTTGGAGTTGTTGTCTGGGGCCATTTCACGCCACAACAGTCTCCAAAACTCAAAACCATTTTGGTCTCGAATGCCACGGGCAATCTTACTTGCCACTGCCATTTCTTGGGCCCACGAGTTCAGAATTGCAAACAATTGCCTCCCTCGGGATTTGGCTTCGTGAGTCATATCGACTGGATCCGCAAAATTGGTGAGCTTGCGTGCATTGTCCAAGTCTGCTGGCAAGTTTTCGTCCAGCAAAGCCAAGTATGTTTCTACTTGGAAACTGAACCGTTCCCATTGGTCTCGATCCTTTAAGGATTGAGGCTGTTTCACAGACTTGAGCACGTCAATATGATTGACCGGCTTACTGCTTCCGGCGGGTGTTCCCGCGCTCTGGAGCGGGGGAACTTGCCCTTGGGCGCCGCCTTTGTTCGCGGCCTGCTGCAAGGATTGCTGCAATAGTGCCATGAGGCCTGTCAGGCGCTGGTCCAGATCTTGCTTTTCCTGCTGCAGCTGGGCGTTCTGCTGCACCTGGCTCTGATGGGCGATACTCAGCGCTTGCATCTGACTCGCTAGAGCATCCATCCTCAGCTGCATCTCGCCGATCTCCTGTTGTGGGTCTGTCATCGCGTTCTTCTTCGGGCCTTTCGTTCACCACCTCCGTGGGCGATGGTGGCTTTGGTTGTTGGCTTGATTGGCTCAAAGCCCCTTGGATTTGGTCGCACAAGTCCAATGCCTTGTTCAGCTCGGCCTCAACTGCTGGGCCTTTGCTGTCGGCGGATGACCGTGCGGTGCTCCCCCGCAACTCCCGCTGCGTACAGTGGGGGTGCTTGGAGACGACGCTGCTCCAGCCACTTGGTCTGGGCTGCTATAGCTTCTGCTTCTTGCCTGGCGGTTTCCAGGTCAGGGATCTCGCACACCTCGTAGCTGCTATAGCTCGTGAGCGAGCCTCCCCACTCAACTTCTGTCTCGTTGCCAGACTCTTGTTCTGGCGCGTCAGCTGCCGCGGCTGCGATCTCTTCTGGAACCTCTGGCTGAGGCTGGTCCAGAATGCAGGCTCCACTGCCTAACGTTGCCTTCTGAACTGACAGCAAACCAGCTCCAAAGTGCAGCTCCCATGCCCTCAAAACAGCTCCACAGCGAAGGCCCGCGGTCAGCAGCCCATACTCCCAAACGTTGCTGTCTGAACTGCCAAGAAACTAGCTTCAAATCTTGCTTTTTCCTGCCGTCAGCTTGGGTGGAAGGACCGTGTCGCAGGCCTCAAACACCAGGGCAGTGACGGACGGATCGGGCCTGCGGGCACCCTTGCTGGTCCAATTTTCTCTCTTTGCCCCTTGTTGCTAGTAATGCCTCCTCTGGCGCCCTCCTCCTGCTGGCGGCAGGGGTCGGCGGATTTAAACACAACTGTGGTGAAATATGTTTGTTGATTACTTTTAAAACGCAATGATGAGTAGGACATTGATGATATATATTTCAGATGACCGGCAATTTCCGGGTCTTTGTTCCATTTGGAGTCGCAACTGTTCGCCATGTTTTGAATCGCCCGATCAGTGGTCCAAGGGTCAGCCGAAGTGCGCCTTGGTGTGTCCTTGAGCCCGCGCCGCCAAAATTTTGTTAAATGATCCTTGGAATTTGGAAAAACAAAATCAGGACTTGTGAAATTTGGTAAGTGAAACTTGTATATAGTTCAACCATGTTTCAGTGTGCTTAGCAAACCTGCATTGCAAGTGAAAAGACGAAACATGGGAAACGTGTTAATTTGGAAATGTATTTCCACACGAAAGCAAGTAACGTTTTGAAAACACAAGAACATGGATGTTTATTCCGTTAACATTTGTATTTCTGACGCTTTGGCCATGGCGGCGAAAATCACGTTGAAGATTGCCGTGGTTGCACTGTGCCTAGCGGAAACATGGATTACAGCCGCTATGACCGTTCGCTCGGTTCAGACTGTCCTTTCCACAGGCAATGATATGAATCAAGACTCCGACTATAAGACTACGTTTGTTCCAGTTACGTGTAGCAGCAACATCTCGAACTCGACAGTTGGTTCCACAGGAGGTCAAAATCATCATCTCTTCTGTCCCAATGATACGGGCAGGGTTGAGGCGAGCACTTGCGGCTCGAGTTTTGAAACCGAGATTCAGACGAACGGCACCATACGTGATTCCAATTGCGCTGATTGTCCGGCTGACTCCAATGCAGCTTGTGTTGGATTCAACTTCAGGTGCGGAGGGAGAGGGTAGTTTATCTAACAATGAAGGTCAAACACATGCATACTTGAAATTGATTGGAGCCTCAGAAAATATTTTTCCGCGCCCAGCATCCCATTTGCAGCACCCTAGAGCACCCTGAGGCTACGAGATTGTGGTGGGTGGAGATGGGGTATCGGGAGAGTACGTTCTGTCCATGAACTGCATCATTGCGAACACAACAGTCGTTCCCGTTGGTTGTGGCAGTGTGGTGACTGGCTCAACAGTTGGTTTGCCAAGTCTGAGGGGATTATTCCCTTCAGGTGACAAGCGGCACATTTTCTGTCCAAACACCACAGAAATGGTCCGAGTCAGCACCTGCGGTTCCAGTTTCGACACCGTGCTCTACATCAACGGCTCAGATGTTGATGATTGGTTTGATGACGATGGATTCTGCTCTCGTCAGGAAACCGTCACAATCAATGTCGAAGCTGGAGAATGCTATGACATCATTGTTGGTGGATTTGGCAGTCTTGAAGGAAAGTACTTGTTGTCAATCGATTGCTTGAACTTCATAGATGTTGCGTGTGGCAGCAGTGTCTCAAACTCGACAGTTGGTTTCAGAGGAGGCATGGCGCATCGCTTCTGTCCCAATGATTTGGGCAGGGTTGAGGCGAGCACTTGCGGCTCGAGTTTTGAAACCGAGATTCAGACGAACGGCACCACACGTGCTTCCAATTGCGCTGATTGTCTGGCTGACTCCAATGCAGATTGTGTTGGATTCGACTTCAGGTGCGGAGGGAGAGGGTAGTTTATCTAACAATGAAGGTCAAACACATGCATACTTGAAATTGATTGGAGCCTCAGAAAATATTTTTCCGCGCCCAGCATCCCATTTGCAGCACCCTGAGGCCCGGAGAGTGCTACGAGATTCTGGTGGGTGGAGATGGGGTATCGGGAGAGTACGTTCTGTCCATGAACTGCACCATCGTACCATCTGTTCCTGTTGCTTGTGGCAGTGTGGTGAATGGCTCAGCTCTTTTGCCAGGTTTCAAGGCCATTTTCTGTTCCACTGAAGCTGGCCGGGTCGAAGCGAGCACCTGTGGCTCCATCTTTGATTCTACCGAGATTTGGGTGAATAGTACAGTGCTTGACAGAGGATGCGGTGATTGTCCCTCCAATGCAAGATGCGTTGGGTTCAATGTGAGGTGCGAGGGGGAGACAGACAAGCACTAAGGTTGCAATTGCTTCTTGTTCCATGCTATTCGGGTTATTTTCTGCCGAGCTGGTTCGGTTTGTGGGAAAAGTTGCAGTAGTTTGGCTTCTGCAACGCTTGAATATATCGAATATCATTTAAATGCCCTTCATGTTGTGTCCTGTCTTAGACCATGAGTTCTGGGCCTGCCCTTGATCCGCAACACCGGCACCGGAAGGGGTTGGCCGTCTCTTTCCTGATTAGTGTGTGCCCCCCCCAAACTATATCTGGCCTCTCTTTAAAGTAGAAAGTCAAAAATGTTCTTCCCAAAAGAAAAACATATCCTCAATTAAGTAAGGATTTCAATTGGCTACAATTGAAATCTAATTACTATTGTGTTTTTTTGCCGATGAAGTTGTGGTATTTGTATTACTTGTATTACTTGTAGTACTTGTAGTACTTGTAGTACTTGTAGTGCTTGTAGTGCTTGTAGTACTTGTAGTACTTGTAGTACTTGTAGTACTTGTAGTACTTGTAGTACTTGTAGTACTTGTAGTACTTGTAGTACTTGTAGTACATGTAGTACTTGTAGTACTTGCAGTACTTGCAGTACTTGTAGTACTTGTAGTACTTGTAGTACTTGTAGTACTTGTAGTACATGTAGTACTTGTAGTACTTGTAGTACTTGTAGTACTTGTAGTACCTGTAGTACTTGTAGTACTTGTAGTACTTGTAGTACTTGTAGTACTTGTAGTACTTGTAGTACTTGTAGTACTTGTAGTACTTGTAGTACTTGTAGTACTTGTAGTACTTGTAGTACTTGTAGAACTTGTAGTACTTGTAGTACTTGTAGTACTTGTAGTACTTGTAGTACTTGTAGTACTTGTAGTACTTGTAGTACTTGTTGTACTTGTAGTACTTGTAGTACTTGTAGTACTTGTAGTACTTGTAGTACTTGTAGTACTTGTAGTACTTGTAGTACTTGTAGTACTTGTAGTACTTGTAGTGCTTGTAGTGCTTGTAGTGCTTGTAGTGCTTGTAGTACTTGTAGTACTTGTAGTGCTTGTAGTGCTTGTAGTACTTGTAGTACTTGTAGTACTTGTAGTACTTGTAGTACTTGTAGTACTTGTAGTACTTGTAGTACTTGTAGTACTTGTAGTACTTGTAGTACTTGTAGTACTTGTAGTACTTGTAGTACTTGTAGTACTTGTAGTATTTGTAGTACTTGTAGTACTTGTAGTACTTGTAGTACTTGTAGTACTTGTAGTACTTGTAGTACGTGTAGTACTTGTAGTACTTGTAGTACTTGTAGTACTTGTAGTACTTGTAGTACTTGTAGTACTTGTAGTACTTGTAGTACTTGTAGTACTTGTAGTACTTGTAGTAATTGTAGTACTTGTAGTACTTGTAGTACTTGTAGTACTTGTAGTACTTGTAGTACTTGTAGTACTTGTAGTACTTGTAGTACATGTAGTACTTGTAGTACTTGTAGTACTTGCAGTACTTGTAGTAATTGTAGTACTTGTAGTACTTGTAGTACATGTAGTACTTGTAGTACTTGTAGTACTTGTAGTACTTGTAGTAATTGTAGTACTTGTAGTACTTGTAGTACTTGTAGTACATGTAGTACTTGTAGTACATGTAGTACTTGTAGTACTTGTAGTACTTGTAGTACCTTGTAGTACTTGTAGGTAGTACTTGTAGTACACTTGTATAAGGGTTTAATAAGGGATTGGCTCCTTTGGGAAAGGCTTGGAGTTTGAATTTGGCAATTGCCTTTGGGAAAGGCTTGCTTCTCTTCTGGGCTTCCAGGAGCTGCTCTGGCAGAGCTTGCTGCAATAGTGAACCCAGCAAACAAACCTACTAAAGTGAAATGGAGCCTCTCCTGGTCCAGGGCCTTGGAAAATTGTGGAAAAGCTGTTCTTTAATAAGGGTTTAATAAGGGATTAATTCTTTTGGGAAAGGCTTGGAGTTTGAATTTGGCAATTTTGGAAAAGGCTTGCTTCCCTTCTGGGCTTCCAGGGGCTGCTCTGGCACAGCTTGCTGCAATAGTGAGCCCAGCAAACAAACCTACTAAAGTGAAATGGAGCCTCTCCTGGTCCGGGGCCTTGGAAAATTGTGGAAAAGCTGTTCTTTAATAAGGGTTTAATAAGGGATTGGTTCTTTTGGGAAAGGCTTGGAGTTTGAATTTGGCAATTTTGGAAAAGGCTTGCTTCCCTTCTGGGCTTCCAGGGGCTGCTCTGGCACAGCTTGCTGCAATAGTGAACTCAGCAAACAAACCTACTCAGATAGAGATGCATTTACAGGCTCAGATAGAGAGATGAGCAAAAACTTGACTGAGCTACAGCGTTTTTGGGAAAAAATGCCTCTCAGCAATTACAGTTTTTTTTCAAAAAGAAGGGCTCTCCCATTTTTGTTTCGCCACAAAAGCGAACCCTCCAAACAATACATGAGTTTCAGAATAATTTGGAAAAATTGCCACAATAGCGACCCTAGCTACTAATCAGGAGCTAACATTAATGAATGTGTATTTGAATGCATGGGGTCAGCAATGTGCGAGAATCTGTAAAAACTCCTGCAGTAAAACCATGTAGTGTATATATCATCGATCTACTCTGTAGCGTTGGTTCAAAAGTATCAGCTGCTTACCGGTTCTTGCCCCAATATAGCATTTGTATTATATTGTTGGCTGACCTTGTAAAATACAGGTTATCAGCCGTAGTCTCACTACTTTGCTATGGGGACCCCAACCGACCTTCCTCTCGCCGTTCCAGGGTCAGGTCCATCGGCCATCGCCGTGCCCAATGTGGCCGGGGGCGACCCCGAGCCGATGGATGACGAAACAATGTTTCAACCCGTTGTAGCATACTTTACCTTCATACAAAACAACCTGTCCCAAATCACTAGTGGGAACACCCTGCAGGTCATGAGGGAAGCTGAACAGAGGCACCTTCAGATAATGCATGGAGTAGTTGACTCAATTCGAAACGAATGGTCAAGTAGGCTCGTAATGCAAGAGCAGGAGTATGAGCAAAGGTTGCTGGAGGTTGAAGGTAAGGCCCGTAGTGCTGTCAACGAGGAAAGGAAACGAGGCGACGAGTTAGAGGTTAGGTTAAATCAGGCTCAGGCATCGCATGACAAAAGAGTAGAAGACTTCAAGGCAGAGGCAAACACAAAGCATGATCAGAAAATTGCAGAGGAAAGGCAACGTATCACTAGTGAATTCGAAGCTTCTTATGCACAGACAGTTGAACATGCAAAGAATGCCATAGCTGCCACGAAGAAGCAATATGAAGATCAGGCTGCAATTGATCAGGCCAGGCTCATCAGTTTGAGGACCGAATTCGAGAACTACAAGAAGGAGATGGCCGAGAAGATCAACGAGGCAGCGGCACAGAATCTCAGCCTTCAGGACCAAATTGATGACCTTCAGGAGCAGTTAAAGCATGTTGCCAAAGCGCAGCATGCCTCCGTCCCGAAAGCATCCGTCCAGAACGCCGAGCCGGCCGCTACCACTAGCGTGCCCCACTTCAATATTGCCACTCCTAGAGCATCCGATGCACAGGCTGCCAAAGGCAGTGATGAGCCGATCCAAGAGTTGAAAACGCCTGCGGTGTTGGCGCAAGAAGCAAAAGCCAAGTTGGATGAGCTGCTCAAAAATGGCAGTCCCAAACAGAAACCGGCTGTCGGCAACGACCAGCCCCAGCTGCCAACGCAATCAGGGTTTTTCACTCCCACTGAAGCTATAAAAACTCCCCCAAATGATTCCCCAAAGAGCGTAACCAAGCAACAGCAAGTGATGGGTCCCTCAGAACTTATTGAATTGGTGAAAGCCTTAACCCATAGGGAAGAAAAGGATAAGCCAAAAACTAAGGAGGCCGAGCTCATCAAGCTGAACAACATGCCTGCTCCGGAGTCATATAGGACTTGGAAGAATCACGTCAGGGATGAAGTGAAGAGTTGCTCAGATCGTCCAGACGAAGCATGGCTCTGGCTCAATGAGGTGTACGATCAGGAGTGCACCAGAGAACAGTTGGAGAAGAAACTTCAAGATCCTGGGAAGTTCCTCACATTGGATACGAAGTTATCAGCAGCGCTCACGCACTCAGCCGGAGGTGACCTCGCAACTAGGATCCTGAATTTCAAAGAGCAACAATCCCGAAAAGGCATCCAGGTCAGGGGAAGGTATGTTCTGCTCATGTTTGAGGACTACTTCAAAACATCAGAAGAAGCAGGTAGCCTTTACAGAGTAGAAGACCTGTTGGGTGTTGTCAAAGTAGGCGATACTGTCCAGGATCTCAGAAGATTCATCAACAAATGGGATGCTACCCTAGCTGGCATGGCTGTCACCCCTGATGATGCTGTGTTAAGGGACATCTTATTGAGGCAGATCCGACCAAGTCAGTTGCTGAAATACGACATCGAGATGTTTGATCGTGCACATGAGAAATCCCATGAAAAGTCTTATAGTTTTCTTCACCAATCCATGAAGAACTTGATCGACCGTGAACGATTGAGGGAAAACAGGAACCGCATCGCGGAGAAGAACAAGGCTGGGATTAAGGACACCAAGGCCGCACCCGCCAAAGGCGATGGTCGTGGTGGCCGAAAGGGCTCCCCAAGTCGTGGTAGATCGCAGGAACGAGGTGGCAAAGGTGACAAGATTTGCTATAAGTTCCAAAAGGGTACCTTTGATAAGGGGAAGAAATGTCCATTCAAGCATGTGAAAGATGATAAGTCTCGAACTCAATCACCCAGAAGAACCAAAACACGTTCACCATCAAGGGGCAACAAGGATGATAAGGGGAAGAAAATGTCCAAAGAAGAGATGGCCAAAACCCCATGCATCTATCATCCCCAGGGAAAGTGCAGACGTGGTGACAAATGTTTTTATAAGCATGATGACAAAGCCGCTGCCGCTACCAAAGACACCAAAAGGGCCAACTCACCCGCTCCTAAAAAGAAGAGCAGGATTCAACAGCCGCTCCATGCCTGATTCAGAAGTTTGCCTGC